GCGGGCAGCGGATAGCCAAACCAGTCGACTAAATCGACCTTAATTTTCCAAAGAGCGGCTGTTGACGATACACATGACCCGGTGCATGCATCCAAAAATAGAACCGATCTGCTATTCCAGTTATAGCGACTTTCATACTGATGCAGCGCCTGTCACGTGTAGTACACTACGTGTCTGCACTACAGGTGTCACAACTAGCAAGTATATAGCTGAATTTCTTTTTAACCTCTTGCGTTGGAATGACTTGCCACGCACGTCGAGAATTTTTTGCCTCAAAATTGCAATATTTACTCAGTTTTAAGTATATTTAAGTATAATCCGGGGAAAATAAGTAATAAATTTATTACTTCTTAATAATTTCTATCTATCTACAGTGATATTATACCGACGAGTTCGAAAAGAAAGCGACGATTTATTCTGTACGGTTTGGTCACTCGTTATGGTCCGCAGTTAGTTACGAGCACAAGTGGTTATAACCTCTTACATCGAGAATTTTTTGTCCCAAACTTGCAATATTTTCTCAATTTTAAGTATATTTAAATATAACCCAGGCAATACAAGTAATAAATTTATTATTTCTTAATAATTTCTACCTACAGTGATATCATACCGACGAGTTCAAAAAGAAAGCGACGACTTATTGTGTACGGTTCGGTCACTCGTTATGGTCCGCAATTAGTTACGAGTACAAGTGGTTAACCTTTTGCGCTGGAATGACGTCCCACGCACGTCGAGAATTTTTTGCCTCAAAATTGCAATATTTACTCAGTTTTAAGTATATTTAAGTATAACCGAAGCAATACAAGTAATAAATTTATTACTTCTTAATAATTTCTACCTACAGTGATATCATACCGACGATTTCAAAAAGAAAGCGACGATTTATTGTGTACGGTTCGGTCACTCGTTATGGTCCGCAGTCAGTTACCAGCACAAGTGGTTAACCTCTTACGTCGAGAATATTTTGTTCCAAAATTGCAATATTTTCTCAATTTTAAGTATATTTAAGTATAACCCAGGGGAAACAAATAATAAATTTATTACTTCATAATAAGAAATTATTTTTCTACCTACAGTGATATCATACCGACGATTTCAAATGAAAGCGACGATTTATTGTGTACGGTTTGGTCACTCTTTATGGTCCGCAATCAGTTGCCAGTGCAAGTGGTTAAACACGGACGGAGTAGCTCGCGCAGCATTGCGAATAATAAGACGTAGGTACATACGCCATCAGATTTGACGTTTGACGTTTGATTGATTTTACGAGCGTGTTGCGCGTCGTGGAGGCCGGCTTTAACGCGACGTCGATTTGACGATGACGTCGATTTGAAATCGAGTTTCTTCGAGCTCGGTTGAAAATTCACTCGGTGGCTGCGCCCGTTCGCAGACTATACGCTTGTAGGACGTGCCATTGAAGAGACGAAACCATACCAGTCATCCACGGCTGTCGTTCAGCCGACGGTGGCACGACAAACGATCAATAACGATCAATTGTTCACGCATTCGTCATGTTTGTCACAGGCTACTCACTTTATCGACGTTGATACGACCGCGACGTAAGCATTGCATTACCAATACGCCGACAAACGTGGTTGTACGTACGACGTTTAATATCCAAAAGGGATATAAATACAGGGCGTTCCATTTTAATCTGAGGATGAATGGAAAAATGGAGGCCAAAAGTTGGAAAGCTACTCCTCTATTAGCGTCTATTCCAAACTTGTTTTCTTTCACGACTTCAGAATTTCAATTCGTCTTTTCAACGACTGTAAAGTAATAAAAGTGAAATTGCAATTTCACGGTTCGATCGAAAGCAGGTAAACGTTCAGTTTCTATTGAAACAATACAAATACGGTACAAATTGAAACAATTCTATTGGATCGATACAATATTGAAACAATATACATATATACAGGAGGGTGAATAGAAAGATGGGTTCGTAACTTGTAGGATACATAGTACTCGAAAACACGAAACATGAAAAAAAGTTCTAATAAACACGGATCTAAAATTTAATGGCTTCGAAGTTATAAACGATTTTTCGTTTCGGTTAAAATGCTTGTGAAAAAGTTAGTACATATCCGGGAATTTTTGAGAGTGATTCTTTAATCCATATATCTATATATATATATATATATATATCGAAAAAGTCTACCAGTTTCAGAGATAGTTTACTTTAATTTGATAAAATGTATGATATGAAAAATTGTAAAATCTATTATATTCATACTTGTCTTTTATGTATAGATTTTGTGAAAAATATCTCCTAAACTAACAGGTTTTAATAGTTAATACTAGTTTGATAGGTTAATACTTTTAATAGTAATAATAGTTTGATAGGTTAATACTTTTTTCTAGAGAATGACCTGTTGTATCGGCTGATGCAAAAGAAAATTACATTTGTAAAAATAGTAGTGATCTTTGTACCTCCTATCATGCGTCTATCTAGAGACAAACTAATTGTAAGCGTTTACTGGCAAATTATTCTCTGAAAATAGAAAAAGCACATTTGAAACAATTTCTAAATGACAAATAGTTTCGAAGTTATAATTATATTATAGGTTCAGTTACATGGAACACTCTGTATATAGATATACGTACGTACGTACGTGTATACCTATATAAACATTTTTCGTCGACAGAACAACGCAACAAAGGAAACCCTTGCAACGTTGATAAAACAAGAAAAGAGACTTACGAGAAAGTACGAAGATAATTCAATTTCGAAAAAAAAGAATCTGTGGTTCTCAAGTATGAATACGTATAACGTATATGTAATTTGTACGCAGGCAGGCGAACGCTGGTTCCCGATGCCGATCATGTGCTGCGCCGTTAAGTGGGCGACTTGCAAGAAATGTAGGCTAATCGGGGATTCGCATCGATTTTTCTCCTTTTCTTCTTTCTTCCTTCTTCTTGTACCTCCATTCTCGTACGTAACGCGTACGTCGTTCTCTATATCATCTCGTTCTAGCGATTCCTCAAACGAAGACCGTGAAAATGGAAACGGATTATTCGATCTTGCGTTAATTCAGTGGTTCCCAACTTTTCCTTGGTCGTGTGTCTAAAATCCTGATGAATTCCACTCCTGTAACGCATAATTCTTCACCCCTTCAAAAAGTGAATTTTTGACGTGGTGGAAGCCAATTAAGAAAGGGGAGCAATTGACGATGCCACTACACAATGTGCAAAAGTTAAATTTTCGTTTAGAGAAATGCAAAAAGAAAAGAAGAAATTCACTATTAACCACTTGCGCTGGCAACTGATTGCGGACCATAACGAGTGACCAAACCGTACACAATAAATCGTCGCTTTCTTTTTAAACTCGTCGGTATGATATCATTGTAGATAGATAGAAATTATTAAAAAGTAATAAATTTACTAGTTGTTTTACCTGGGTTATGTTTAAATATACTTAAAATTGAGAAAATATAACAATTTTGGAACAAATTACTCTCGACGTGCGTGGCACGTCATTCAAGCGCAAGAGGTTAACCACTTGTGCTCGTAACTAACTGCGGACCATAACGAGTGGCCAAACCGTACACAATAAATCGTCGCTTTCTTTTTAAACTCGTCGGTATATCATTGTAAATAGAT